GGGACTGAAAGAGAGTGACTGGCCAAAAGACCTCTGCCTGTCTTTCATATCTAAGGAAGAACTAGAACTTATCTCCTTGTTTCTAACTCATCCCCATAGCCATTTGAAATACAGCCTCTGAAAAGCAGTAATTGTTTGACCCATACAGCTATATGGCATTAAACATTAGGAGCATTGATAATGTAAAGGAAAGTTATTGAAAAGAAACAATGAAAACTGAAAGAGGAAATAATGACAAACTTACAGCTTAGAGCTTTTGGCCTACTTCACAGTCAAGAACAGGAAGGGGTGTATTTGTTCAGAGTGTTTGCAATGATTTGCATAAATGCAACTTCCCCATCTTGGTCTATTTCTCAGGAAAGCTGCAGTGTTTGCTTTCCATATCAAAATAATGTCCTTGCCTTTTCTTTGTGGGTTCAAGATGCTAATCAATGGAATTCTTCATTGCAGATTTACCCCTTGTGAAATGGGTTGGATAGTGCTTAACGTTTCAAATGTCACCCAGTGGTCTTCAGAGTGAGATGAAATTTAAACTTGGGACTCTCTGATTGCAATACAGGTAGTTCTTGACCTATAACCATTAATTCAGTGAGTATTTGAAATTAGCAGGGCAATGAACAAAAGGATTTACAATCCCTGCCCAAAGGTCCAACCATTGCAGCCCTATAGTGATGTGATCAAAATTCAGGTGCTTGGAGGCACACCCATCTTTATGATGGAAAGAACACTGCAACTCCCCACCAGCACTACTTTGGGCCTCTTGGGAGCACAGGAAAGGGATTGGAGGCCATTCATCTTTTAGACCAAGTTTTTCCATTTAAGCAATTTTAAGATGTATACACACCTAGTTCTCCCATATCCTGGAATTTCCCAGTAAGGCTTCAAATTCCACACATCTTAATCACCAATCCCCAGGCCATAGCCCATTATTGGGCCATGACCTATTCGCAACCAAGCCACGTAAGTGGCGGGCCAGAATGCACATGCACATGGCTCAACTTGCTCACTTACATGGCCCTGTTTTCCCCCACTCTCACACACCAGGCTGCCAAGCTGCAAATGTTAGGGACCACTGTCTTAATATTCCCAGGATGGAGAAACACCTTTTCTGATTAAACTTTACATAGTTCTTATTTTACAGAACTCAAACTCTGTTAGGACAGCTTAGTTTTCAGTCAGATCCAGCTCCTCAGTTTTGCTGTACTGTAATGGTTCCCCATTGTCCCATCCTATTGGTAATATTCTTCAGGGATGAGGGACACAAATGATGTCATGTACAGGTATTGTTTTCTTGGTCCTATTTCTTCTTCTGTATTCTGCAGAAGCAATTGGCATTGTCTTTTTGTGCCTCTTTTTGTACTGAGAATTTCACATGATTATTGCACCTGTTCTTAACAAATTTGCTTCGCTTCCCTATTTCACCTTCTATCATAACCTTGTCCCTATTACAGAAACCAAATTGTTGCAATGGACAATAGAAGCAGTTGCATCTGCAACCAGCCACAATGACACCAAAATAATATTGCCTGAAGTAAATATGCACCTTTTTTCTTTTTGCACAAGGACTTTACAATACCCATTTCATTATTTGGCACCTTTTTCCACCTTTGTCCAACCACAATTATCAAATATACGGAAATACCGTATTTTCCTGCGTATAAGACGATTTTCTAAACCATGAAAATCTTCTCAAAAGTTGGGGGTCATCTTATACGCCCAGTCGTCTTATACGTCGGAAAATACGGGTACCTAAAGAAACCAAAGAGGTTGGCCACAAATGGTTCAGTTGTAAGAATTGGATTTGCAATCAAGAATTTTGCAAGTGGGGCCATTAGAGGAACAAGAAAAAGTAACATGGCATTTTGCTTAAAGATCCAGAGGTAAAAAACCCCACCTTAGCATATCAAAAAACAACCCCAGAAATTATTTCATTTTAAGCACAGCAGCCCTTCGCACTGCAGAGCAGTGGTTTTCGCCAGAAACGGAGAAATATTTCCCAGGGCGGAATGGGATGAGGTAATCCGGCTGCCTTTACATGCCCACTTCTCCTCAGGCGCTTTATTGCGGCTCACCCCAGGCGGGCCTTCTAACTCCGCCTCTTTCTCCCCAGCGTTTTCCCAGTGCTATTTGACTGCAGGGGACATTTAAATGAGAGTCCGGGCTGCCAATTCGCACGGCAACGCATAGGCCACCTCGGACACAGGAAGGCGAGCCAGGAGGGAAAGGGAAGAGGAAGAGGAGGAAGGTGAGGTACTGGCCAGCAAAAGTGTGGGGAATGGAGAGCCTCGCAGATGGAGCAAGCAAACTTACAAAAAGGGGAGTCCTCCCTCCCTCTCACACACACATAAACACACACGCACACATGCTTTCTCTCCCTTCTCTCTTTCTCTCCAAAGGGACCAGAATGAAGTATGTGGGGGGAGGGGGTGCAGCCATGCAGTGAAGCCTGATCGGATTGTTATTAACTATGTCATTGTGGAGGCAGGGGTGGCAGCCCCCCTCAACCACTTACATCAAAGCAAACTCCCCCATATCCTGCGCCCCATGCTCTTCACCCCTTGGCACGAGGATTAGCTGTCCAGATGAGAGTTTAAGTGTCCCATGCCAATATGCCAATAAAACAAGGCTTCTGTTGCCCTGGAAACACTTCCACCCCCCGCCGGGGAATCCAGGCATCCAGACCGCATCCAGGCCGCTGCTCTTCTGCCTGATGGGGAATCCCATGAAGGAGCTGCGGGGGGGTAAGACGCCTGGCTGTCCCTGTCCTCCTGTGGCAGGACAGGGACAGAAGTTGTGGAATAGCCACAACTTCTGTAGGCAAATTTTTTCTTTAGCAATAGGCACTGCTGTGGTAGAACCATTAAATATAGTTCCAATTCAGCATGCAGTTTTTTTTCCCTGTCACTTTTAAGATTAAATGCAAATAAAAGGGCAACACAAGATGATATTTAAAAAACTATATAAAACCTGCGTCAAAGAGTCACCCATTTTTGGAAAATATTAATTTTTTTTAACTGGGATTTTGTGGTTACCTTGTTTCCTTTTTCCTAAAAAGCATTAATTGCATTAGAAATTGAAACTATGGTGAAAAAGTATATTTCAGAATTCCAAAAAGATAATAGCTATAATACAATTGCATGGCTGGTGATCAGTATATACCTTTTAAATTACCGTTTGGGGGTTGACTTAACGCCCAGTCGTCTTATACGCCAGAAAATATGGTATATATATTGCCCTGTATTGCATATCACTCTAACTATAGTTAGCCTGACCATAGATTGTGTGACCCAACCATTGACTGGGTTCATACCATATCTTGATTTATTCACCATGCTTTACAGTCCACAATGTCTGGATTTACACAATACACTACATCAAAATCTAACATATCACATTTTTGTTCAGTATGATGCATTATTCCGATTGGCAATATAAATATGTAATTATAGTTAATGTAGCTGGGCTACTGTGTCTTATACAGAATGTATAAAACCCAGTGAAAGTATGGCTTCTGGTCACAATGGAAAGCACAACTGAACAGTTGAAAGTCACACATCTTTGGATGTGCACATCCAGGCTATACCCAATATTTTGGCTTTCAGGGCACCCTCTCACCAACAAGCATCCCCATTGTTAACTGGGCTCTTACATATATAGGGAGAGGGGCAGTGGTGGGATTCAAATATGTGAACAACTGGTTCTCTGTGTGTATGCTACATCTGGAAGTCCATTCTGGGCCTGGGCAATAAAAAATTAGCTATCCGTTCTGCTGAAATGGGGTGAACTGGCTGAATCCCACTACTGGAGAGGGGTCGAAAAATCTAAGAAAAGTTGGAAAGGAAGAGGAATGAGGTGATAAATAGTTCAAAGATCAAGTAAAAATATAGAATGGTATGTAGAAGAAAGAAAGATACACAGGTTGCTCTTGTGACAAAGTAAGCCATTGTTCCATAAATACATTTCATACAAGGTTATTTTGAAATAAGTTTTTATTATTCTTGTTGTTGTTATCATTATTATCATTGCTATCAACATAGTAGGAGTTTTTATTATCAACATCATCTTTGTTGTTGTTATCATTGCTATCATAATAGCTTTTGATTGTTGTTATTACATTGATATGCGGTATCATTTTGGAGAAGTGGTAACTTTAGTATTAGAACAAATAAACCACATTTTCCCCCGGATCCAAATATATGTGCACATGAACAAAACTTCAGAATCTCATCTGACAGTTATTGCTTCACAGCTTAAGAAAAAAGTCACAATTAGGAAATTATACTGATTCTGCTCAGATTCTCATTTTTTAAATTTTAAATTCAGTAATGCTTAGGTCATATGTTTTTTCATCCCATAAGAATCCCCTGAATTTTTAATATGCATTTTTCTCCATTTATACATTTTTGTATTCATGTTTCATAATGTTTTTGTTTGTATCCCATTTTAATATTGTGAATTTTTTTTGTACTTCTTTTCCTAAAAATACATGTTAGGTTCTTACCAAAACAGATCCCATTTAGGATCCACATCATAGCTACTGCTGAGAGAATACCAGGATTTCCCATTGGATTCCCCATCTGTTGTACAAGATGAGTAGAATCTACCTTTACGGAGGAAAGGAAAAATAGGACCCATGGGACTGGATTCTAGTTATAGAAAAAGGGAAAGATGAGAAAATCTCAAAGATCAGCAGTTCAGAGTCAAAGGCAAAAGGCTATTTTGGAAGGCACAAGGCATAACTCCCATCTGCACTTCTTAAGTGCTTTTTTCCCCCAGGATTGCACAGTTATACGTAACCCCTGTTGCCTTGAGGGGCTACAAATACAACTTCCACATCAAATGCCTATGATTCTGTTTATATATTGGTCTCTGATTATAAATTAACCCTGCTACTGATAGATACCAATTTATGCTCTGTACAGAGCTCAGATCTGTCTAAAATCAACTCTATTTTTCCTAAACCAATCACCACCTTTTATCAAAGTGACCTTCCAACTCACTTATATCAGCACAAAGTTCCACATGACATCCAAGCCATAGTTTCATGTTGTGGCCCACCAAAACCTGCCATCAGCTGGGTCTTCATTGGTGCAGATGTAGAAAGTTTATTTTCTTGTGTAAATGAAAGAGAAGATGCAGGCCTGGCCATGAGCAATCCCTTATATTCTGCATGTAAAAAAGATTTGTTCTTAATGAAAAGAATTAAGGATATGATATAAATAAATCCGATATTTTAACCATTTAGTTTGATCACCAAGGCATTGATTGATCATGGATGAATTATATTTTCCTTCAATTCTTCAAATTGTGGGAAGTGAGAGCCTCCCAGAAAAGGAAATATTAAAAGGGCAGAAAAATATATTTTTTCAAAACTATTTTTAAAAGCAGAAACCAACCTTGCCCCCAAGTCTTTGTCCCAAGCAGAAGCCAGCTCTATACAAATACAAATGTAAAACCATCAGAAAGTTGGAGCCAGAGAACTCAAGAAGACAAAGAGACCTAAAATCTGCATACCCCACCTGAGACAGGACATGATAGGATTAACTCACAAGGGCCAGAGAGGCACACCTAAACTCAGGTGAGAATACGTGACACAGGAAATAGCCTCAAAGTTCATACCACAGGAACAGGAAACTATTCCAAACAAAAGGCTAGAGAGGGTATAAAAACCTACTACCCATGTGCTCAGCCCTTCTTTCCTCTGGTCTTTCCTGCAAGAACCATCTTTCTGCCACTTCAATAAACTGTAACCTTCTTCCCAAAGCAGTCACCATGTTGCTTATTTATTCCCGGCTTGGATGAATCAGGATGAAGACTTTAATCCAACAATTTGGCACCCCAGATGGGACTCCAAGCTAACCTCTCCAATGGACTAGACTGGTAAGCCCCATCTAGCCGGTAGCAGACCCCTTGTGTCTGTAGATAGGTTTCCCAGGCCCTGCCCATGTGGAGCCAGGGTAGTAAAGTGAGTTTTTGGGTTTGAACTCAAGGACTGGTTTGGAAAGAAGGTGAAGGTGAGTACCTCTAAATTTTAACTTTAAAGCCCAGAGGAGTGAGAGAAATGTGTGTATTTCTGTGTGTGAAAGTGAGAAGACCATTTTCCCAATCACAGTTGGATTCTGCTCCTTCTGGTCTTTCCTAGCTGCAGAAAGGATCTGTTCAAGTGTCAGATCCTGGAAAGCATGGGGGTTTGGTCAGAGCGCAGAACCTTTTGTAAGGGAGAAGGGAGAGGCTGTGTGAAAATGAAATGGAATGAGTGAATGAAAGAGTTGGATTTGGGCAACTAGCAGGTAAGGCCCTGTAAGTAAAGCAAAGCAAAGCAAAGTTAGGAAATTAAGCCTCGGGCAAGGAGCGTCCCTTACCTCTGGAAAGCAAGCAGAGGTCATCCCAGACATTTGAAGTCTGCAAACAGTGATGGTGAAAAGTGAAGGTAAAGCCGGTAAAAGCGTCCCGTACCTTCTGCAAGGGAGCAGAAGCGTCCTTGACAGACTCATTTTTAGTCTGAAACCGTGGTAGTAGATCCCTAAAGGAGCATTCCAGTACTCTATGAGGGATCCAGAGTGCTCCATGGGTCCCTTTTTGACCCAAAACTGTGGTGGTAGGCAGAAGTCTCACTAGGAGGCTTTAGTGCACTAGATCCAATAGAACCAAAGTGAACCCCTGCATATAAGGGAATAATGGGGTGTTCTAGTTTGAGGGTTGAGATAGGCTCCCCAGTGTAAAGCTTGCTTGAGGCCTGGGACGGGAATCAGCTACCCATTCAGGCAGGTATGAAAAAAGAGGTAAGTAGAGAAACTATTTGTAAAAAAAATAGACTTTGCTTAGGGCTTTGCTGGGAAACCAGTTTGGCTAAATAAAGGTACTTAAAAGAGAAAATAAGAAATAGTGATTCTCTCTCTCTCTCTCTCTCTCTCTCTCTCTCTCTCTCTCTTTCTCTCTCTCTCTCTCTCTTTCTCTCTCCAGCCACATGGTATGTTTAAGATCTGTCTTCCCCTATTTATCTGAAATTTATGGTGGGAATGACTAGGATGTGTAAAACTAAGACTTCTGTTTCCTTTTCTGTTTTTCTTGTCTTTGTGTATATATGTTTGTCAAAGTCTTTGTGTGTGAGGTAAATGTGACTGCTGTTTCAAATCCAAAGAGAAAAGAATTTAAATTATGCTAGAAAGTTTGTTTAAAGTAAACCACAAAAAAAGGAAATACCTCACTCTGTTTGTCTGACCAACAAACAGGGTGAAGAAAAATGTGTTTGCTTGTTTGTTTGTTTTTTCTTTTCCTCTTTCTCTCTGTGTACTCTTAAGAACAGCCCAAAGTTAGCAGGAGAAAATGTTTTAAGTTCATCTGCTAGAAAGATTTCACCTTTGCATTTAATAATATATAATAAAGTTGGAAGGGACCTTGGAGGTCATCTAGTCCAACTCCCTGCTCAGGCAGGAAACCCTATACAAACTTTATCAAATGCCTTACTGAAGTCCAAGAAAATTATATCCACAGCATTCCTCTAGTCCACTAATTTTGTAACTGGGTCAAAGAATGCAATAAGATGTCTAGCATGATCTGGGTTTTTTTTTTTTTTACAAACCCATGTTGGCTTTTAGTAGTGACTTTGTTTCCCTCTAGATGTTCACTCATTCTTGTTTGATTATATTTTCTAGAATCTTCCTAGGTATTGAGATCAGGCTGATGGGTCTGTAGTTTCCTAAATCTATATTTATTTTTATTTTTGAAGAGGGGAACTATATCAACTCTTTTCCAGTCCTCTGGTAGTTCCCCAGTGCTCCAGGATCTTTGAAAAATATAGTTCAGTGGTTCTAGATCACATCTGCCAGTTTCTTGAGAACCTTGGATAGTAATCCATTTGGTCCTGGTGATCTGAACTTGTCTAGGCTGGATAGGTGTTCACTTACCATTTTCTTGCCTATCTTAACTTGTGTTTCTAATCTATTTTTATGGTACTGTTTTTGATAAGTTGGACTGTTTTTTTCCCTTTGTGTAAAGACAGATGCAAAAAAAATGAATTAAATAGTTCTGCTTTCTCCCTGTCGCTTGTCATCTTCTTGCCACTTTCACCCACTAATGGACCAATCATTTCCTTCACTTTTTCTTGTTTTTTATATGTTAAAAGAAGCTTTTTTGATTATTTTTGACTTTGGTCTCAAGCCTTAGTTCATTTTGAGCCTTACCTTTCTTCGCCTCATCTTTGCAGGCTCGGATTAGTTGCTGATATTCTGCTTTAGTTATGTGCCCCTCTTTCCACTTTTTATACTTGTCCTTTTTATCTTTCAATTTATCAGAGAGTTCTTTATGCAACCATGCTGGTTTCTTTTGACAGCTGTTATTTTTCTTCTTTGTTGATATTGTGCTAGATTGTTTTTTTATTATCTCACTTTTCAAAATTTCCCAAACTTCTTGAGTTGTTTCCCTTTGAGGATTCTTATCTATGGAATCCTTCCCAAGCCCTCTCTAAGTTCTCTTAAAGTCCAAGACTCTAGTTTGACTGTGTTCTATTGCTTGTGCTTCCATAATGTTGAATTCCAATATTGCATGATCACTCCCCCCCCCACAAGGTTCCTGTGTCTTCAACACCTATCATTTTGTTTTGTTAGTGAGAATTAGATCCAATATGGCTAATCTCCTAGTTCCCTTCTCTATTTTTGGGAAACAAAGTTGTCTGCAAGGTTTGTCAGGAATTTGTTTGATCTTCCACTTGGTGCAGTTTGTCTCCCACTTTATGTCAGGGTAATTAAAGTCCCCCATTACTATTGTCATGTGCTTCCTATGTACCTTAGTTAGCTGACTAGCAAAAAGTTCATCTATTTCTCCTATATGGTTGGGTGACCTATAGTATACACCTATGGCAATGTCATTTTTCCCCTTTTATATTGACCCAAATGCATTCAAGACCATTTTCATCATTGTTGTGCCCTATTTCTGTAGATATGTAATTATTTCTTATATAAAGAGCAACTTCACCTCTTTTATTTGGTCTGTTTCTTTTAAACAATTGAAATCCCTCTAGCTAAGTGTTCCATTTGTGGGTTTTATCCCACCACCTTTCTATAATGACAACTATATCATATCTGCCCCCATTTACCTGAATTTCTAGTTCACCTTGTTTCCTGTTCATACTCTGTGCTTTGGTGTATAGACATTTGAGTCCTTTATGACTGACACCTATGTGTTAATCCACTTTGTGTGACACTTGCTATTAAAAGCTTGATTTTGCTTGATAGCAAGGTTGATATTCTTGTCCACACACACATCTATGTTACTTGCATTGCTAACCCTGTAATTTTTTGATCTCAATTAACTCACTGTCCCTTGTTTAGTTTAAATATTCCTCCAGAAAATATGTGAGTTTATTGCCAAGTAACTCAGTCCCTTTCTTTGATGGATGCAAACCGTTTCTTTTGTATATTGTTTCATTGGAACAGTTACAAACGTTATGACCATTCAGCATGAATCCCTGGCTATCTAGACAGAATGGTCCTCAAACATGAGTTATTATACCCTTTCATGGTTTCCAAAATTGTCATTTTTGATTTGTTGGTCACTGTCTGTTTTTGGATTAATTTCCTTCTCAATTCTGTCCAAAAGGTGTTAATTTTTGTTCCAGGAGGGATCCAGTGTTAATTATTTTATTGTTGTGTACCTTTTGGTGTTTCTATTCTAATCCTGTCAATCCTAATTGCTGTTAGCCAGTTCTGCATTCCTTATAACCAGTGTGTATTAAGTGTTTATTTATTTAGCCTCAGGCTGCCGCTGAGTCAGACTAGTTTGTATTGGGTTCTTCCTGTATTTGCCAAAATATTTTCTCTTTGGGGTAAGGAGGAGGGGTTCCTGCCTGCTGGGTTCCTGGAAATCATTCTGCAATGTGTTGTAAATGGGTTTTATGTTCTAAATGGGTTTTATCTGTCTATCCTTTTCCTGAAACATGACCAGCATTTTTAAGTTGCAAGCCTTGTCTTTAATATGTTGCAAATGTTCAAGTTCAAAAGTGAAACATTTCATGTTTGTTCTCTTACCAGAATCCAGCTTTCTTTTGTCCTCATTTTGTCTGCCACTGCAATATTAATGCCTTTTCAAACTCTGCCTACAAGCTACTTCCCCTTCTACTTCTCCTTTGTCTGCCTCTCCTGGGAGAGTCCACCCAGAAAGGGGGAGCAGAGTTTTATTTTCATGTCTTTCAGCCCTGCATAGATGACCTCCCCTACCCTTGGAAGCAGAACACACTGACCCAGATGCTGTCTCCATCCATTTGAGCCATGG